TTTTTTTTTTTTTTTTGGTGGTGGTACTGGAGTTTGAACTCAGGGCTCGTGCTTGCTAGACAGGCACTCTACCAGTTGAGTTACTCTGCCACTCCTCATTTAAAGTTTTTAAGCCTACCGTGGGGAAGGTAGTGCATATGTATAATCCCAGCACTCAGGAGGCTGAGGAAGAAGGATGCCGAGTTTAAGGCAAGGCTGGATTGTATAGCAAAACCCTATCTCCAAAACAAACAAAGTTTAAGCCTACAATACGAGGGAAGAAAAATAATGAACAGCTTTATACTTTATACCTAGATTTACCAGTTATTAACATTTAATAGCTACTTCACCATGCATCGCATCAAACAGCATTTTCTTACATCATATTTGAATTTTCTCAGTTGTCCTGATCCTTTACAGAAATGTTTTTCCTGGCCCACATTTCTGTCTAGAACTGTGCATTGCTTTTAGCTTAATCTTTTGTATTTGTGTAGTGTTTTTATTGTTTTATTATGAAAAATTTCAAAAATACAGAAAAGTTGGGAGAATTATATAGTGAATACCCAATTTGCTCACTAACTTGGATTCTACAATCAGTGTTTTGTTGTGTTTGCTTTATCATGTTAGATTACCATTTTATATAATTTAAAAATAATGTCTGTTCATTGTAGAAAATTTGAAAAATATAGAACAGCAAAAGGTAGAAAATAATAGTGGCTCCACTATCCTATTGAGATAGTCACCGTGACTGTTTATTTCAGAATTACCATGCCTTGGTTCATTTAAATATCCTGGTATCCTTAAGTGATAGTTACTATTAGCTCATTTACAGAGTGGAAACCCTGATAACAGAATTTGAGTCACTTTTCTATTTTCCACGCTGTATTAAGAGTCTGGCTTGACGCAGGCAGTCTGTATCTCTCTGTACTTTTTTTTCTTTTGTGGTACTGGGGTTTGAACTCAGGACCTCACACTTGCTAGGCAGATGCTCCCCCACTTGAGCCACTCCACCAGCCCTTGTTTTGTGTTGGATATTTTCTAGATAGGGTCTCATGAACCATTTTCCTGGGCTGGCTTCAAACTGTGATCCATATATATGATGTCTGCCTCCCAAGGAGCTAGGATTACAGGAGTGAGCCACCAGTGCCTGGCCAGTCTGCACTTTTCATACCGATTGTATTTTAAATCATTTGTTGATATTTTAATTCATTTATTTGTTTTTAGTTGGTAGACTGTAATTACACATCTTTATGAGGTATTTCAGTACAATTAGCCAGGTATAGAAAGACAAACACAGCCTGCTTTCCATTCATATGTGGAATCTGAAAAGGCTGAGGTCATAGAAGTATGGAGCAGAATAGCGAGTACCAAGATGAGCAGGATACAGGGAGAGCCTGGCTACAAGCTACGAAGTCACAGCCAGACAGAAAGAAGTTTTTAGATTCTTATACAAAAACATGACTATACTTGAGAATACTGTTTATCTTTTTTGGGGGGCAGTACTGCAGTTTCAACTCAGTGCTTCCAGCTTTGCTAGGCAGATGTTCCACTGCTTGAGCCATGTCTCCAGTCCATCTTGCTCTGGTTTTTTTGGAGATTGAGTCTCTTGAACTTTTTGCCTAGGGCTGGCCTCATACTGTGATCCTCCTGCTGTCAGCCTCTCAAGTAGCTAGGATTTTAGATGCGAGCCACTGACACCTGGCTTTCACATGATTTTTTTTTTTCCCTAATGTTTTGTTTTAGTTTTATTTGTTTATTTATTTATTTATTTGGGTTGGGACTGTGGTGTGAACTCAGGGCTTTGCACTAGGCACTCTATTTGCCTGGCGTTTTAAACCTACATTTTCCACTTTATCACAAATGTCATTCCTTGTCAAACACTACTTCCACTGTATCATGTCTGTATTGCTATTTAGAGATAACATTAGGTTACTACTTTTGAACATTGAGGTGAGGTAATTTCCAGCTTTACTATTGTTAATAACTAGTGAACATTCTTACATATGTCTTTTTTTCTTTTTGGTACTGGGGATTGAACTCAGGGCCTTGTACTTACTAGTCCCCCAGACCCTTTTGCTTTGGTTATTTTTTGAGATGGGGTCTGAAGTTTTTGCCCTGGCCAGCCTAGACTGCCATCCTCTGACTTCAGCTTTCTGCTTAGCTGGAATAATAGGCGTGTACCACCAAGCCCAGCTTTTTTTTGGGTGAGATGGGATCTTGCTTAACTTTTTCCCCTGCTGGCCTTAAACTGGCGTCCTCCCAATCTCTGACTCTCAAGTAACTGGGATTATAGCTTTGAGCTACCATACTTGGTTAAGTTTTGTTTTTTGTTTGTTTGTTGTTGTTTTGAGACAGGGTCTCTACAAACATCCCAGGCTGCTTGGGATTCACTATGTAGCCCAGCTGGCCTTGTATTTGAGATCACAGATAAAGTCTTTTAGCATATTCTTAGTTATTCTTTAGGGTAAATTCTCAGAAATGGAGTTATTGGGCCAAAGGATATTGTATTTATGTTAAGGCTTTTCATTTACACAAATTATCCTCTAAAAACAGTGAAGTAGAAAATCCTATTTTCCTAGCACTAGTTTATTTCTCTGTATCCTCACCAACACAGAATACCCCTTCCTCCCACTCTCCCTCCCTCACTTCGTTGTAGGAAAAATCACGTCATTGAGGATTTGGGTTTTTCTCCCATTGCTGGGGATCAAACCTTAGATACACTGTGCAAGCACTGTACCTCTGAGCTAAACCTCTAGCCCCTTTTGAGTCTTTTTTTAATCTTTTGTTTGAGACAAGGTCTTACTATGTAGCTCAGGCTGGTCTCGAACTCACATTCCTCCTGTCTCAGCTTCCCAAGTGCTAGAATTACAGGTGTGTGCCACCAGGCCTAGCTTCACTGAGCCTCAATATTCAGTTCTTTTTTGTGGAATTGGGGCTTGAATTCAGGGCTTCATGCTTGCAGAGCAGGCACTCTACCACTTGAGCCACACACCCCCAGACCATTTTGCTGTGGTTGTTTTGGAGATGGGGTCTCACAGACTGTCTGCTCAGGCTGGACTTGCACCGTGATCCTCCCCTTCTCGCCTCCCAAGTAGCTAGGATATAATCCTGTAGGTGTGAGTCACTGGTGCCTGACTGATATTTAGTTCTTATATTTTTGAGAATAAATATTCTCTCATGTTTATCAATATTTGTAGTTTTGGTACAAAATTTGTAGTTTTGTATGTGTTATCTGTTCATTTTCATAGCTAATGTTTTCATCTTTTTTTTTTTTTTTTGGGTGGGACTGGGGTTTGAACTCAGGGCCTTGTGGTTGCAAAGCAGGCCCTCAACTGCTTGAGCCACACCTCCAGTCTCCCCACCTCCCCTGTGTTTTGATCTTACCCCTGGTCTTTGCAGTCCAAAGGGAAGCCCTTTTAACAATGCAGTACGATGCTTCTCCAGCTCTTCTGTTTAACTCAGCTTAAAATTGGCACGGTCTCATTCTTGTCTTTAACAAAGTCAAATATATTTAGGTAGAGAGAACAGTATTGTGAACCTCCATATATCCACAACCCACATTTAACAGTTGTCAAAAAGAATCACTGTTATTTTGATCGTAGTATAGTATTTTGGCAAATTTATATTTAATTCCGTATTAAAATTTTTTTCTAATTTTAAAACTTACCTATACCCTTGTTATAAATAGGCGTATAATTATGTACCCTGACTTTCTTTAGGATAACTTCCTCATCTTGAAATTACTAGATTAAAAGAAGTATATATATTTTTTTCTTTTAAAATTTAAAGTCAGTCTTTAACAGTCTTTCCGTCTGTTGAAATTGTGTTCCTCTCCTAATAAACTTTGCTATCATTTTCACTATAAAAATTGTGAATTAAATTATTTTTTAAAATACATTCATGTGATTCTAGTTTTAAAGGTACAGAGTATACCGTGAACACATTCCTACCCATCCATTTCTCCTAATCTAGTTCTGACTTAGGCATGTTTATTGGCTTGTATCTGTAATTTGTATGTATGAATATTTTTTTGTGGTATTGGGGTTTGAATTTAGGGCTTTTACTGCTTGACCCACACCCCAGCCCTTTTTGCTCTGGTTATTTTGGATATAGGGTTTGCTTTTTGCCGAGGCTGGCCTGGACCACAATCCCATTTTAAGCTTTGAACTGTCATTGAAATGATGGGTGCACGCCACATGCCAGCTTTTTCTGTTGAGATGGGATCTTATAAACTTTTTTGCCTGGGCTGGCCTGGAACCAGAATCTTCCCAATCTCAGCTTTCTGCATAGCTTGGGATGACAGATGTGCACCCCCACACTCTATTGGTTGAGATAGGGCCTCACAAACTCCCTGCCTGGGCTGGTCTGGAACCATAGTCCTCTTGAGCTCAGCCTCCCAAGTAGCTAAGATTACAGGTGTGAGCCACCAGCACCCAGCTGAATGTAACGTTTTTACAAAAGAACATTTGGTATATTACCTAATTGCAGTTCAGGCTGTAAAATTTAGTTGCCCTCAACAGAACGTGAGAATGTTCATCTCCCTGCCCAACACTGGGCATTGGAATATTAATGCACTCACATTTCTTTGTTAATGTTTGTTAAATGCATTTGATTTTATTACCTCATGTTATGTGAATCATATTAAACCTTAGAATTACATCTTCTTTCCTTGAATGTCCTGTATATAGAACTGCTTGATATGTTTTGTGATAATACTCCTTTCAGAGTGGTGGTGCAGAATGAGAGAAGGGAAGAGTGGACCTCACTCCTTGTGACCATTAAAAAGCTCTTCATCCAGTACCCCGTGTTGGTGCGACTGGAACAGGCAGGTACTGCATCCTTGTAACAGAATGTGCAGCAGGGAAAGGAGGTGGAGGATGGAGGCTGGAGACAAAGAGCTCATGCTTGGTTCCTCCCATTGCCTTGTGTAGTTTCTGCTTCTGGTCAGGTTTCTATTTCCAGTTGGATCCAGTTGTTCGTTACAAATGCAGTAAGTTCAACAATGTCCCTAACAGTGTGAGAGGGACCCTATGGAGCCAAATGCCTTCCCTTTAGTTTTTAAAAGGTCATCTTTTATGAAATGTTTTTTTCTTTTCTTGTGTCTTTTGCTTCAGAGGGCTTTCCTCAAGGAGACAATTCTACCTCAGCACAAGGAAACTACCTAGAGGCCATCAATCTGTCATTCAATGGTGAGTGAGCCAGTATCTTGGTTACCATATGGCTGTGGACTTCTCATTACTGATTCCCACCTAACCCCTGAGATAATTCAGAGCAGTAACTTCTGTTTGGATGGCCTTAATGACTGACAGTTGGCTCGTGGGTCTTCTGTCAGGAAATTCACTTGGTGTTCTTACCTGCTTCTCCTAGAAAAGAACTGAAGGGAGTCTTGCTTGAGTTCTTTGTTTTATTACAAACTATGTTCTTATTTTCCACACCATCCCTCAACTGCTGCTTTTAGGCAATATTTTTTAAAACTCTGCTTTCTGAAACACATTATATTTTAAATCCCTAGGATTCAAGTGTAGAAAGTTAGTTCAAGTAACCCCATTCATCCTCTTGTAAGAGGAGCCCATTGTTAACAGCATGGTGTGATTTCTTCCTAAGGTTAAGCCTACATTTATGTAGTAGTTGAGATACAATTATTTGCCAAAACAGAAACCTACTGAGTTAGTTTAAACAGATAGGGAAATTTACTCTTAAGGATGCAGGGGCTTAGTAAGGTAGCTAGGAAAGTCCTGAAAGCCTTGTTACAGAAAATGGGGACCTTGGTGGCTCTGAGAAACACAGGAGCAGGAATTTGTGGAGTCACATGCAGTGCCCAGCACCTCTACATCTGCTCTGTATTCAGAATTCTGATTTCCAGTGGAGAGAATCTGGTAGACCCAGCTCTAGGTAGATGTCAGCACAACACTGGCCAGTGTGGTGCTGGGAAATTCTCAAGCATGGTGTAATTTATTAGTCAATCTTTTCATCATATTTGACTATCACTGATTTTCAATAGTAAGAATCAGAGAGGCTGGAAATAGAAATTAACTTGCCAGATTTGCAAAGCCTTCCCAACCTCTTGGTCTGCTCTCTTAAATCCTTAAATTCATATTTGATTCTTAGGTGTCTCTATACAGACTTACTGATGAATGAATGAAATTATGGCATTACATTTGAGCATTTAAATCTGCACAAGGCAAATACTAGACCTCAGTGATGGGGACTGACAGTGATGACAGTGACTTAGTCCTGTGTTCAGGAAGTTGTTAATGTAGAAGAGGAATAACAGATGTGCACATAACTAGCTGGAATTCAGGTGAGAATGTGGCAATTGCCATGATGGAAATTATGTGTAAAATGCTCTGAAAGTATAGAGATGCTTGCCAGTGGCTGGTTTCTGAAAAAGTTGTAACATCATCACTGGTGAAGTTTTGTTTTGTTTCTAGTGTTTGACAAGCACTACATCAACCGCAACTTTGACCGAACTGGGCAGATGTCTGTGGTGATCACCCCAGGGGTGGGCGTCTTTGAAGTGGACCGCTTGCTCATGATCTTGACCAAGCAACGGATGATAGATAATGGTAACACTCCCTTGTTTGTGCCTTGTCTCGGTGTGTTCCTAACCTGATTTGCCCGTGGAACTCTGAACTTCCACTGACTTTTCGGGCCGTGAGGAGCTCCAACAACATAGTCATTGTGTTATGAGATCTGGGGATGTGAATAGAAATCAGGTGATAAAAGGAGTTCCCCTGGTTGAATCAGTTTGAAAAATGCTAGGTATTCCACAGTACCACAATTGCAGGTCTTCCTTAGCTTTTAATATGTTATTCTTTTTTTTTTAATTTTTATTTTATTCATATGTGCATATTAATATGTTATTCTAAAGAAAATGTCTGGTACTTTGTTTCCAGACATATTTGATACTAGAGATCCGTTTCCGGGGGCATTGCTTCAAGGGCCTGGTGTGCCCTTGGGAAGCACCCCAGGAAAGCACCATTAGCCCATGTCCAGCCCTCCCTCCATGATGTGCCATGTATCCCCAGCTTGATCCCACACCCCCAGATTGATTTGTGTTTCATCAACAAGACTGAATGGAACTGGAGGTTTGGCTCAAGTGGTAGAGCGCTTGCCTAGCAAGCACAAGACCCTGAGTTCAAACTTTAGTTCTGCCAAAAAAAGAAAAAACAGGAAAGCAAATCTTCACTGCCACTAAAGAAGCTCTCTTACATTGTATGGATTGTTTTATTTATTTATTTATTTTTGCTGCGATTGCAAGGTTCCTTTTACTTCTTGGCTTTGAAATTGAAATAGTGAAGGCCTGATTATCTTTTTTCAACAAATTATGACCTGCCATGCACTCAAAGAGCAATTGTCAAGCGCTGAATAGTAATAGGTATGACGGACTCAGTAGAGGGGAAACAGACAGAATGCCTCTGTTCAGTTCTTTGCTGTGTGTGTAGCAACGATGCGATTATAAATTGTAGGAGGATGAGTTGTCTTTGCCAACGTCACTTTTTTTGGGGTGGATGGGATGGGGTTTGAACTCAGGGCTTCATGCTTACAAAGCAGGCCTCTACTATTTGAGCCATACCTCTGCTCCATTTTGCTTTGGTTATTTTGGGGAGAGGAGGTCTTGAGAATTGTGTTTCTGGGCTGGCCTGAAACAGTGATCCTCCGAAGTAGCTAGGATTGCAGGTGTGAGCCTCAGGCATCCAGCACCCGACGTCATTAATAGATTGGGACACTTACCTCTGCCAACTCCTCTCCTCTTCCCACTTTTTGTTTCTTCTCCTTTAGGAATTGGTGTGGACTTGGTGTGCATGGGTGAGCAACCATTACACGCTGTCCCATTATTCAAGGTAATTAGATTTTGGATTTTCTTCCTAAAAACCAATTGGAAAATAGTTAAAAACAGAAAATTCGGAGGACATCCACGCCCTGCTTGTTTTCCAGCTTACCTGTGCCTTGGCCTTTTTCCTTGCAGCTACACAATCGGAGTGTTCCTCGAGATTCTCGCCTGGGTGATGACTATAACATTCCCCACTGGATAAACCACAGGTGGGTGCCATCTTGATCAACTGTGGATAATAAGGCTTGGAATAGTTTCCTTGCTGTTTGCTCTTTAAATCTGTTAAGATTTTTTTTTTTTTTAGAAACAGGGTCTCACCATGTAGCCCAGGCTAGCCTCAAATTCATGATCCTGTTGACCTAGCCTCAGGCGTGCACCAGCACTCCCAGCTGTCAAGTTCTTTTTATGGCAGTTTTTTTTTTGTGAAGAGAGTGGGAGACTGCAGATGTAGCTTAGTGGTACGACACTTGCCTAACTGGGTTTGATCCTCAGCACCACACGCGCACACACACACACACACACACACACACACAGAGAGAGAGAGAGAGAGAGAGAGAGATAATGTGGAAGGCAGAATTCTAATGTTTTCCTCTTCCTCTTCCTCCTGTACTGCTACTACTTCTATTACTCCTTCCCCTCTGCCTCCCTTCTTTCTTCTCTCTTCTTCTCCCTTCTTTCTTCTCTCTTCTTCTCCCTTCTTTCTTCTTTCTTTTCTCATCTTCTTCCAGCCTTTCTAACTGGAAAGCCATAGCAGTAACAAGGGAATGGCCTATGGTGAAAGAACAAAAACTGATCTTGAAGGCCCAATTTCTACTTACTATTCCCAAATCCCACTGACGATAACACACCAATGTTGTGCCTGCCCCAGTCCACTTAGAAAAATCCCTGTGTCTCTTCTCCTTATAGGACACAGTTTTGCTGATTCCAGCTCAGAATGACTTCTTTCTTCCCTTTGCCAGTGCTACTCTTGTATCTTGGTCCTCATTTTTTGTGAATAGTTGCACAGTTCTTCAATCTGTCCTTTAGGCCAGAGTTTCTTGACACTACTGACATTTTGGGTCAGATTATTCTTTGTCATGGGGGATTGTGCTATGCATTGTAGGACATTGAGCACCATCCATAGCCTCTACCCAGCAGTGGCACTTATCTCTGGCTATAACAGCCAAAATTGTAGATATTGCCATGTGTCCCTTGAGTGCTCAATAGAGAATCGCTACATTATTGGTTTTCTTCTTTCTTTTCCTTTCTGTTGTGTTCTTAAGTAACAAGACTCCTTCTACAAGTAAAGGTCTTACTTTGACTCTCAACATAGAAAACTGATAGACTGTTAGTGGTTCCTTCCTGCCTTCACATGGCAGGCTCTGATGTGGAACCAAGGAACCCTGGAGGTCTGGGGATGAAGTTCTGTCAACTGCTATACCTGGTTGCCAGAGGCATTTTTGTGTAAACCAAATCCTATGCCTTTTCTTTCTGATTCCTTATGCCAGTTTGATAAAGACTAAAGTGTTTGACATCTGCAACCTCCCTTCCTACCGTTTCTCTCTCATTATGCATGCAAATGACTTTTATCCTTCAAGGATCAGCTCCTGTCTTCTGTGAATCCTTCCTGATGGCAAATAGCAGCTTTCTCTTCCGTTCTTCCAGAGCATTCTACCCTTTCTCTGTGTTGTCTGTCATAGGCCAGGACTCAAGAGGGACACACTACTTGGCTCATGCTGCAAGCCCAACAGAACTTTCAGTTTTGGCTTTTATTTAGTCGCAGTCTTTACTGGAGGCCAGCTTGGAAACTCACCACAAATGTTGATTTTAGCCTTGTAGTACATCTCCATTATCTTTGCTGCAATCCATATTGCCATGGGTATGATGGTTGCTGTTGGTCACCTGTACTTAGTCATAGGTGAAGAACGAGGGAATGAGCAAGAATTGGTTGTTTGGTCATCTCTGTAAGGATACTGTCACACTGTAAATTATGTTGTTCTGAGAATGTCTCTCCTTTCTCAGGGAGGCAGTGAGATATTATTCGTCTGGTCTCCCATGTTCTTCCTTTACATAAGTGTATGTAAAATCATACTTTTTTTGGTGGTGATGGTTCTGTTTTTGTGGTTTTAGGTAGGATCTCTCTGTGTGGCCCAGGCTGGCCTCAAATTCACATACCTCCTACCTCAGCTTCCTGAGTGCTGGGATTACAGGCATGCTCCACCACTCCTGGCCTAAAAATCATACTTTTAATGATGCTCAGTTTTCTATCTTGCCATTGCATGGGCTGACATAGTCACTTCTACAAAGTGACCATTTCATAATAAGATGCCCTTGTAATCCTCCCCATCTTGTTTCTATGTTGCTATTATTTTAGAAACTTAGTTCAGGTAAAATAGGAATATTTTTGAACTTCTTTTTTCACTTATTTTAGCTTCTTTTTTCTTCCCTTTAGTTATTTTGGATGTGTAACTTTTTAATAGGCATTCAGATTCACATATCAATAAAATAGCTACTGTTTAATTACACACCATATTTCATAGCTTAGTTTAGTGCAGGAAATAAGGTAGAAAGTAACTGTAAAAGTGCAAAAATGCATATTTATGTAAATTAAAGTTTTACAGTTTTCTCAAATTCTACTTTGTGGTAACTTGAAAGTTTCACAAATCACTGCTTTATTTTCCATCCTAAATTGGATCTGTGATGCCAGTCAACAATGCAGGCAGGAGCTGCATGTGAGGGCTTCTGCATCTGAGACCTGAGAGGGCCCAAGGCCTGCTGTTCACATTTCATTGTGAGCCTTATCTGCTGGAGCCACTCGGGGATGGGAACGGCAGGGCGGAGATGGATGACTGCTAACAGGGGCCTTTGTTCTCTTCCTGCCAGAAGAGCCTCCTCAGAAGGGAGCAGAGTGTTCCCGCTTGAGTAAGGCCAGAAACCTTACTAAGTGTAATCAGATTGTCTTCAAAATATTACTGGCTGATAATGAAAATCGATCCATAGACTAACTAAATTACTCTTAGGTATGTAAGAGTTACAAAACTGAGATGTAGGGGATATGACAGGATATAACTGAAATTTATCTTGGAGATTCTATAGACCAACCAGTCACATTATAAAGTGGAGAAAACTGAGTTCCAGAGATGTTAAGTGTTTGCCAAGGGTGGAACAGCATATTCATGACAAAGCTAAGCTAATAATTTCAGCCATTTGAAATCATGATATTAGTCTGTGATTCTCAAAAATAGCAATCTCATATGGTTACATTTATAAGTAACCCATTCTTCTGGCTGACATTATTTTACCACTTTTATTTTATCTTGAGCCACACCTCCAGCCCTACTGCTCTTGGGTCTTTTTCTTTTTTCTTTTTGTCTTTTCCTTTTTGGTGCTGGGATTGAACCCAGGGCCTTATGCATGCTAGGCAAGCGTACCACTGAGCTACCTCCCAGCCCTCCAGCCCCACTCTTATCTTTTATAGTCTACATCTGGGAAGAGAGTAGCAACTTCCATTTGGTACTTTCCTTGATACCCCTGGGAGAGGCCAGATCGACCCCCAGGGTTGGCTGGACTCTAGGTTTTTCGTCATCCTTATTAAGCATTCATGTATGCTTAATACACCATTGGGATAGCTCCACGGCCCATCAGTCACCTCCTGATACCACTCTTTTATGTGTTTACTTATTTATGCATATGGTCAGAGATTTCACAGAGAGTGAGGATTGGTCGACATCCTAAATATCGTTTAAAAGTTAATGATAGATAAAAATCATCCAGAGAGATACCTGAGGGATAGAAAAGGCTGCACAGCCATCATTTATTCATTTATTTAGCACATCTAGTGCCAGGCTAGTCTTCAGTTTTCTTGTGCACCTGACATGACTGTATTAAGGTTGTTTTTAGAAGGATTGGGTTTTAGTAGTTTCTGTCTTCTTTTTTTCACTACCACCTTTTCCCTTTCTTGCCTTGATCATTCTTGCTTGCCGTGTGTTGATCAGTCAGTGAGTGGTAAGAACCTCCCTGGGCCCATCAAGGTGAAAAGCATCATGGTGTACATACACTTAATCCCTGTCATGAGGAGGAGATTGTGGTCCAGTTAGGAATCAGGACTGGCACACATGGAGTGATTTATGTCTGTGGGGGAAATACAAGAACAAGTAAAAACATAATGTTTTATAGTAATTATAAAGGAGGTCAGAATTGGGCAGATTAGTGAAAACTAAAACAAAGCCAGGGCTAGGAGGGTAGATTCTGCCTGGGAAGATCCTGTGTCTTAAGGTTCAAATTAACTACTGCATTTATTTATTTATTTATTTATTTATTTATTTTTTACAGTTTCTACACGTCCAAAAGTCAGCTCTTTTGTAACAGTTTCACCCCACGAATAAAACTGGCAGGAAAGAAGGTAGGTTTCATCAACCCGCAGAACCTTCAAGACTGTCATAAACTGATGTGTTTAGGATTCTAAAGTGTTCTCAGTTCTCCACAGGGTCGTTTACAGGGTTTCAGGAGTTTGTTTTAGAACTTTACAGTTTTGTACACTAGGTAAATATACAAGAAGACAGGATCTGGGGGCGTAGCTCAGTGGTAGAGCACTTGCATGCATGAGGCCCTGGGTTCGATCTGTAGTATGACAAAACCAACACAGAATGAAACAAGGTAAATCCCAAATTGCAATAAGTACCTCCGGTAGGGCTGGAGATGCAGCTCAGTGGTAGAGCACTTGTAAGGCTCTGTATTCAAGCCCAGAGCTGCAAATAAATAAATAAATAAATAAAAGTCTTTGGCAAGCATATGACAAAGAGTTCATTTTACTGTGATGTGACTGTTTTATTCAGATACTGAGGCCACTTGGTTGTTATTGGGGACAATGACATAGATACACATTGTAGCAAAGGGGAAATATGATAAAAGGTCACACCTTAGTATTAAATTCCAACTTGAATGGGGATTCTTGGGCTGGTGGAATGACCCAAGTGGTAGAGCACCTGCCTAGGAAGTGTGAGGGCCTGTGTTCAAACCCCAATACCACAAAAAAAGGGAGGGAGATTCTTTTTTAGCTTACCAAATAGATTTAAGGTATGTTAATAATTACACCAAGTACTGGAAAGAGTGTGGTGAAATTGGTACTGGAGTATCTGGTTGGTATATGACTTTTTTTTTTTTTTTTGGCAGTACTGAGGTTTGAACTTGGGGTTTGCTCAGCAGGTGTTCTACCACTTGAGGTGTATCATAGTTTTGCAAAGTAGTTTAGCTATGTATCAAGAACAATGTATGTGGCAAAGTAATTTCATTTTGGGAAATAATTAAGTTTATCATATGCAAACAGATTATGGTCTAGTTTTATTTATAATAGTGAGAAGTTGGAAACACAGAGAATAGCTGAATACAATCCTGAAATGCCCACTTAATGGAATATATTTGTAATTAATAAGAATGCCAGTTTTAAGAACCTAAAAAGTGGGGACTGGCAGAGTGGCTCAGGTGGTAGAGTGAGTGCCTAGCAAGTACAAGGCCCTGAATTAAAACCTCAATACTGCCAAAAAAATTTTAAAAACCTCCAAAAGCACTGGTGTGGTGTCTTACACCTGTAATCCCAGTTACTTGGGAGAATCAGTTTGAGGCCAGTCCCAGGAAAAAGTTATTGAGACCCATCTCAACCAATTACCTGGGCGTGGTGGCTTGTTCCTTTCATCCCAAGCTGAACTGGAGGGTTAAGTAGGAGGTTCAAAGTCTAGGCAAGCCCAGGCAAAATCACAGGACTCTGTCCCAAAAATAACTTAAGCAAAAAGGGCTGGAGGCATCGCTTAAGTGGTAGAGCTCCTGCCTAGCAATGACGAGGCCCTGAGTTCAAACCCTAATACCACCAAATAAAGCAAAACACACAAAAAACCCCCAAAATCTAACCCCTCAGCCCTTTTGCTTTAGTTATATTGGGAATAGGTTCTTGCATTTTTGCCCAGGCCAGCTCCTCATTTTGATCTTCCTACTTGTGCCTCCTGCGTAGCTGGGGTGACAGGTGTGTACTACCATGCACAGCCTGAAAAAGTGTTTGTGATACAGTGTGAGGAGAAAAACAGGCTGTTGTGTTTGTAGGTCCCACACCAGAGCCGAGTGCTCTCACCCATGTGTCTATTTCTAGTATAGCTGAGTCCTCTGAGGGATGCCCTCTTTGCACAGGTGGCTCACGCCTGTAATCCTGGCTACTTGGAGGCTGAAATTCAGAGGATTGAGGTTTGAGACCAGCCTGGGCAAGTAGTTTGTGAGATCCCAGCTCCAAAATAACCAGAGCAAAATGGACTGGAAGCATGACTCAAGCAGTAGAGTACCTGCTTTGCAAGAGTGAAGCCCTGAGTTCAAACCCCATTCCCACTAAAAAAGACAAAAAACGGGCTATGTCAAATAGTAAAATTGGGAGATGGGATTCTGCCAAGAAAGGGTAGAATTCTGCATTCTGAGGTTTTTTTGCTTTCCCACACCATTTCAACGAAGTGGGACAGGGAAGGACTTGCAGCATGACTTCTCTCATTTTAAAAGCAAGAACAATTATTGTCATGGGAGGCTTGAGGATCCTGAAAGTTTTATTAAGAATGTTTTACACATTGATAGCCCTGGGTTTTCTTTTCTTTTCTTTTTTTTCTTTTTCCTTTATACTCCATTGCAGCAAACTGAGAGATCTAGGGAGTAGTCAGGTCTGGCAGGTGTAGGTAGACAGGTGACAGTGGAGGGGGAGGCATACACAGTTTGGGTCAGGACCTCGCCATGCTTGAACATATATGTAGTGAATTGACCAAGAGTTTGAAAATATGGGCTTAAATTTTGGCTCTGCCATCTGCTAATTATGTGACTGAGCACATCTTTTATTCTCTGTAGAATTGCATAGCCTCACCTGTGAAGTGGGGGTCCATGCTCCCTCTGGACAGGGTTGTGAGAAGAAGTGAGGTGGGAAGTAAAGAACCTAGCAGGGCTTGGCACCATGGTGAGCAGGTGTCAGATATTTGCTCCTGCTTCCTGAACTACTTGCAGAGAAGGCTAAGACATGGTCTTTGTCCTGGGGAGCAGCCACATACATACTGTGCACTGTGTTAAGTTTTCTTCTGACAGAGAAGAGAGTGATTAAATATCTATTTAATTTTATAGCCTGCCTCTGAGAAAGCAAAAAATGGCCGTGATACATGTGAGTATTTTTTTTAAAGATCTTCTTTCACATCTTTTAGAGTCAGCTAGCTAATCCATGACAACAGAACTATGTGAAGTCACTTCAAAAGGTTCACAGACAAGTCAGGAGACCCATCAGTTCCCTTTGTGTGGCCTGTGGAAGGTTCCAAAGCCACCTTATATTTTTGTCCTGTCCTACCCAATACATGATGACAAAACCTTGGTTTTCCTTTCCCATAGATCAGTTGTAGAGATCAGGTACAAAGTTTTAAATCACTAAACATATTACAATGATATTTTTAAAGAGGTACCACAGAGGAATGAAATGCTACTGACACTTTGCCTTTCCTGCTATAAGCTGTTTTTGTGTCACTTTGACATTTAAGTCAAATCTCTACAACTTGATGGATGGGTTATTATTGCATTTTTTCCTCAGTGGATGATCACCAGAGTCTTACAGGTTTTGATGAAGATTCTCTGCAGACGTCTAGTTGATATGTGTTTGGATGACAAATTGTATTGTGTATTTTTTAGCTCTTGGGACACCGAAAGAATCCGAGAACGCTCTTCCCATCCAAGTAGACTATGATGCCTACGATGCACAAGTGTTCAGGCTGCCCGGCCCATCTCGGGTCCAGCGCCTCGCCACCTGCAGGTTTTCTGCCAGATTCGCTTGGGGGTGCATATAAGTATGGTTTCAGACAACCTAGATCCATAGGGACCTTTATGAGAATAACCTTGAAAATATTTTAGATTAAAATTAGCCAGACAGAAGCTAGGCCATTTAGATGTCATTTTGTTTACCAAGAAGTATTGCCTCAAAATAAGGAGAAGGTTCTCAGGCTTTTTCTATCCGAGAGAAGCAGTTTGCAAATTCCAGAATCTTCCTCTCACTAGGTTGGCCCTATTACAGAATTTAGGGCTCAGAGTTTCTTTTAGTTTTATTCTTCCCAGAGGCTAAGAACTTTGCTTTCTTTAAATCCCACTTTTAAAATTTGCTCTGTGGTGTTTGGTCATATAGCATTTTCTAACTGTGATAGAGTTAGAGAGTTAGCTCTGGGTCTGGTGTAAGAAAACCCCCAATACCCTGAATTCTAGATAGTATTTTTTATTTTCTTCCTTATCTTGATTTTTTTTTTGGTGGACCACATGCTTACTCTGTAGACACTACCTTTGAGGCATGGCCCTAGTTCTTGGCTTTTTTTTTTTGGTTTTTTTTTTCGGTACTGGGGCTAGAACTCAGGGCCTCACACTTGCTAGGCAGACGCTCTACCACTTGAGCCACTCCGCCAGCCCTGTTTGTGTTGGATATTTTTGAGATAGGGTCTTGCAAATTATTTGCCCAGGCTAGCCTTAAATTTTGATCCTCCTGGTCTCTGCCTCCCAAGTAGCTAAGATTACAGTCTTGAGCCACCAGTGTCCAGTTCCTTGTTTTGTGTTTAGAGATAGGGTCTTGGTATGTGACTCAGGCTGGCCTTGAACTTGCAATCCTGCTATACTATTTTAGTGTCACTTTGACATTTAAGTCAAATGTCTACACTTGATGAATGGATTGTTATCTCATTTTTTTCCTTGGTAGATGATCACAGCTCCTGCTATACTGTTTGTGCTTCTTTAGGCACAAGCCCACCATGCCTGACTGACAGCCTTAGATTTTATGCTTAGTTTTTTATGTAGAATTTTTTTGATGCATATGTGAAATAGAATTCTAGCTTATGTTTCCCCCCAGTTGACCAAATAACATGAGCCCATTTTTCAGATCTCTTAAATCTGAAAATTTAAGGATAGCTGACTGTAAGAATATTAATATATCATTTGCTTTTGAGCGATTGCTTTCTGTGCCTTTCCCTCATTCCATCCTAATGTCTGATCAAGAGAACGTTTAGAGCTCAGAGCAAGCATTGTTAACAGCAGCTCTCTTACACCTGGGTGCTTCTTAGGGGCTTTTCTTCTATTATATTTTGTGTTATGGGTTACGTTATTGTACTGGGGATTCAATCCAGGGCCCTTGGGCATGCTAGACAAGGACTCTACCACTGTGCTACATCCCTAGACCTAATTGTTTTTAATTCTTTGAGATGGGGGATCTCAGTTTGTTGCCTTGGCCAGTCACAAACTCCTGGGCTCAAGTGTTCCTTCTGCCTTAGCAGAAGTCTGCATGTACACCCTACCATGCCCAGCCACACAGTCATGTCTTACACATAGCTAAGCATATACTTCTGCTCAAATATTTATTCTTGAAATAACAAACATGTAGTCAGCACTTGGGATCCATTTCAGGTTCATTTGAGCTCTGACTTAGTACAAAATCTTTCTAGAAGGAAAGAAACACACCTGATGGCAGAAAGGCAGTCCTATTGATAGGCTAACCCTTTTATTCATTCTGAGGTTTTATCTCCACATTGGGTTTCTCTCATTTTCCTCTTTCTTCCTATTATTCCTTGACAATTTCCCCTTAGGGAGCTTTATGGGGTTTTG